GGTGAGAGTTCTCTGCTGCTCCTGAGTGTTTCTGATTGCCTGATCCTGACCTGTTCTGTCTCTGGACGTCTGAACCTGTCAGTCCAAATTCTAATCTGTTTGCCTGACCTGTCTTTGGGTGTCTGCTGGATTTCTACCTGTGTACCTAACCTGGGACTGTTTCCTGACACCGTCCTGGATTTCTCTTCGGTACCTTTTCAGACCTCTGATGTCCTGGTTCTGACTCCCGAGCAATTGTTTGACACTGGTTTTTGCTTTGCCCTCTGGATTATCCTGTATTCCTTCGTCTGCTCTGTTTTGATTTCCACCCTATTCACAGAACTCTTTAACTTCAACATTTGAGACTCTCTGGGCGACACCCGCCACGTCTCGCCGGCAGCCGACCAACTCAACCAACCTCATCCTTTGGGCATTGACTACATTTTAAGACAAGGTTAGTGACTCACACGTTTGTTATCATCCTCCAAATAGATGTGGTCATTGACCTGTGTTCTCCTCCTGCAGACGTTACTGCCTTAGATGCTGTTCACTGCAGTTCTGTCTTAAATAAACATTGTGTTAATCCTGACTGTCCTTCCACTGAAGTATATATATTTTGGGTGTAGCACTTTTTATTTATTCAAAAACAATAATGACACCATCAATTAAAAGTAATTATTTACTAATAGTCAGTAGATCATAACTATCCTTACATCCCATTTTCATATAATAATCAGCATTGTTTCCAATAAAACAGCAGCAGCCTAGCTGGGATGTTGAAGGCTTTTACAACCAGTCTTGCATCTTGTTGGCACCCTGGCATTCTGTGGCATAATTATGGCATCTTCGTAAGGCATAATTGCAGATAATGCAGTCAAGGAGCCAGACAGGAGCAGTGGGTTACTTAGTTGGAGGGTGGATAGGCAGACTTTTGGTGGGTCCACAGGAGCACCGGAGCCAACTGTCTCAGATTATCTTGAGGAAGGCTTGAACTGATCAGGTAAAGGTTTCCCCGTGCTCAGTGAGACGAATATTTCCTTCCAAGGGGTAGATGGACCAGGCTTATCCAGTGGTTCAGGAAGTATCCTGAACCACTGGAATCACAAAGGAGACAAAAGGGGAAATGCTTAGACTCAGAGAGACAAAACACTTTGAAGGTTAGACTCAGCTAATCTCTGAGAGACTACAGTACCCAATACTGGCAAACACTGTGGCGTAGAGGTGATGACAGTCCTCTGCTTATATACTCCTCTGGAGGTAATGACCAAATGAGACGCAGGTGTGGGCGATCGACACCAGGAAAAAGCCTCAAGGCCAACAGAGAACTAGGGCATAATCTAGTGGACAGACAAAGGTACTAAAAAGAAGAAGAACACAAAGCAACCCCCCACAAACAGGAACCCTAACACTCGGATAGACTTTGTTTCTGGTTTGACTGTATGGAATACGCAGAAGTAGTAGCAGCAGTTGTTTTTGTTATGCTGTCTGTTGAGAAACTGACATTTTTCAAACTGGAACCAGATGAATCAGGTAAGTATGTGCATGTGTTAAAGGGGCGTAAACAAGGCGTGTCTTGAGCTGTGAACAAACAGGAGGGTTTAGGAATAACGGTGCAGCCAGCTCTGTGCAACAAGCAGGTTGTCACAAGAGCACATCCAGCAAGTTACAGTCAGAGAAACAGGACTACACAGAAAAAAAGGCAGATTTCCAACATTTATAAACAAAGGTGTTCATGGCAGCAGCACAGCTGATATTTCTCTCCAAGATGGTGTCACAACCAAACAGGAAAAGACCAGATTAAGCTACTATGAAAAAGCAAAAGAGCATAACATTAGAGATTGAACTAACAGATTCTGCAGAGTGGGAGAATAGGGAGAGAAGGAAGCAGAACGATGAAATAGGGATCCCTTTGTCCTCCAGAAGTCTAAGCCTATAGCAGCATAACTACAGAGATGCTCAGGATAACCTGAGCCACTCTAAGTATAAGACAGTTCTGCTGTCTCGCTGTCTCTGATTTCTGTGGCTCCTTAGACTACCTGTGCTCAACGTTGAGCCATTGCTTTTTGGAATGATGACATGAAGCATTCTGCGAAACTATCTCTGGCCCTTTCTCAGCAAGTCAGCATCTGAGGTACCTTGCTCTAGACATAACTACCCTCACAAGGCAATATTTAGGAGTGGGGCTAAAAAGTAGGGCTAGGGGTTGAATTGAGGCCGGCCATTAGAGTCCGAAATCAAAAGGTTTACAAGCCATTCAAAGGACGGTACAAATTGGAGATGGTCAGAGGTGTCCAAAACACTGAATGAGCCACATATAAAAGCACAGAATGGCCCATTTTCCATTGTAGAGCATGATTCCCATGATATGCCTGAGAGAACTGCACTACACCTTCAGTTCAGTGGGTGGGGGTATAAGAACACACAACTGGTTCTCCCTTTACAAACAATGCTGACCAGCAATAAATAAATCCCTATATTTTAAAAGCTTATTTGACATTTCATATTTTTATACACCTACATCTAAACAGATTTAGATGAATAAGTGGATGATTCATTTCAGATAACTGCAAAAACCTGTTTACACTGTTAGATTCTTTTATTATATTAACCAGGTAAATCTCAGATATCCACAACACAAACATGAAATGTTTCTATATAAAATGTCTATTAAAGTTAATCCACAAGAAATTATTGTCTTGAATTTATAATCATAAATGTTGGGATCCGGAGACTTGCCCACCAGAGGGCACCAAGGATCCCTTCCTGGGGATTTGTTTTTCTGTCAGTTTCTGGGTTCTGTCTGCCTTTCTCCTCCAGAGGGCGTTCTGGGTCTCCTGAAGCTGGAACTGACTTCACCAGCTGTTTCTCATCTGCTCATCAGGAAACCAGCATATAAGCAGCAGCAGGACTACACTCCAGTGCCAGAATGTTAGCTAGT